TATAAAAACTTATATATTTATTTTAGTGCTGTCAAACGATTAATCGCGATTAATCACATTCAGAATAAAAGTTTTTGATTTCATAATATATATGTGTGTACTGTGTATTTTTATTATGTATATATAAATACACACACATACATGTATATATTTAAGAAAAAATTTATATTTGTATATTAAATATATAAATTATATTAATATAAATATGTACATGTAAATATTTTCAAAATAATACTGTACGTGTGTGTATTTATATATAATCTAATAAATATACACAGTACACACAACATATATTACATAAACAAAAACGTTTATTTTTATTTTGGATGCGATTAATCGCGATTAATCGTTTGACAGCACTAATTTATTTATTTTATGATACATTTTTATTTGTTATTATAGCATGTTTGGAACAACATGATTGTGAGTAATGACCTTTTTTTTTAATGTTTCTTTGAAGTCAAATGTTACGAAAAGACGACATGTTAAGGACAGCCTGGAAGATGAACCTTACATGATGACTCTTCATATTGTTAGGCTCTTTGCATTTCATTTGCTTTCATTCATGAATGCTCTCCAATTTGTTCAGCCCCTCTTCTTCGAGTTAGGTCCATCTGTCCTGCTTCAGCGCCAGAGCTGCTAACAGCCCATTTTTCTTCGTTTACTGTCCCCGCTGTCCACAGTCTAAATGTCTCTGGCTCTCTAATGTAATTACACACTGGAATTCTAGGTATGAGGATGTGCTGGATGCTGATTAAGCACAAGAGGACTGACAAGCAAATCTTTCATAAACCCTTACTTAGCAGAACATCTGCAGGCGAGCTGGTCTGGATGCTGAAGTTGGCACTTCTCACACCTCTTGTTACCCATTTGAGTGTGCTGCCCTCTAGTGTATGATATGATGTACTGCACTGCTTGTATTTTAGCAATAATCTGTCTCCATATCTGGAAGAAGCAAGCCATTTTTATTTGTCATCTATAAAAGCTTTTCTTACTGAATATGTCCCAAAGGCCTTTTAAGGCCATCTTGTTAATTCCACCAACAGCCTGTTTGTTTTAATGGGCAGAGACTTAGAAAAAAATAAAACTGACAACTGTGGTAGCATAAATATATTTTCAATTTATCTCAAATTGCAATATATATATGTATATATATACAGCGGGTAAAATAAGTATTGAACACATTACCATTTTTCTCAGTAAGTATATTTCTAAAGGTGCTGTTGACATGAAATTTTCACCAGATGTCGGTTATCAACCCAAGTAATCCATGCATACAAAGAAAACAAAACAAATAAGTTCAGAAATTAAGTTCTGTGTAATAAAAACGAATGACCCAGGGAAAAAGTATTGAACATGCTTACTGAAATTCATTTAATACTTCGTACAAAAGCCTTTGTATTTTCACCAGATGTCGGTAACAACCCAAGTAATCCATACATACAAAGAAAGCAATAGAAACAATTTCAGAAATTAAGTTATGTATAATAAAATGGAATGGCACAGGGAAAAATTATTGAACTACTGAAATGTATTTAATACTTTGTACAAAAGCCTTTGTTGTTAATGACAGTTTCAAGACGCCTCCTGTATGGAGAAACTAGTCGCATGCATTGCTCAGGTGTGATTTTGGCCCATTCTTCCACACAAACAGTCTTCAAATCTTGAAGGTTCCATGGGCCTCTGCTATGAACTCTAATCTTTAGTTCTTTCTAGGGCTGCACGATAAATCGCATGCGATATTTAACGCGCATCTTATCAGTAAAATTTCCACTGACAAGGGGCAGGATTGTATTGCAGAACTTAATTTTTGAACATATTTGTTTTGTTTTCTTTGTATGCATGGATTACTTGGATTGTTACTGACATCTGGTGAAAATTTCATGTCAACAGCACCTTTAGAAATATATTTACTGAGAAAAATTGTGACGTGTTCAATACTTATTTTACCCGCTGTATATGTAATTTTTTTCTTAGTTTTTTTTCTTTTTTCTAGTAGAGGTCCACTATAGGTTCTAGTAAACAAAGTGTAGTATAAGTAGTGTGTGTGTGTGTGTGTGTGTGTGTGTATGTATATATATATATATATTTATTTATTTTAAAATGCAATATTAAAGTGAGATTCAATGAATAATATACATTGCCATTAAAAAGTTGGACGGTAAGATTTTAAAATGTTTTTGAAAGCCTCTTGTGCTCACTAGGACTGCATTGATTTCATCAAAGATACAGTAAAAACAGTAATATTGTGATGTATTACAATTTAAACAAACTTTTTTTAATCTATCTTAAAATGTAATTTATTCCTGTGGTGACAGTTGAGTCTTCAGTGTCTTATTATCATCAATTTTAAAAACAGTTATGATGCTTTTTTTTTTTTAAACGGTGATACATTTGATTCAGAATTCTTAGATAAATGGAAACTTCATACGCAAAGCAAACTTACTGATCCAAACTTTTGAATGGTAGAGTACATTGTACCAAAACTACTGAAATCAAATCAGAATATGATACTGGGGTGGTGTGGCAAACTTGTTTTTGATCTAACCTGGTAAATAAAAAGTTGTAGGTCCACTGTGCACTCGGGCATTCCCCTCTGCTCTCATGTGTCTTCAGGCAGATGCAAGAGCTCCAGCGTCAGAAGGAGCAAGACAGGGAACGACTGGAGCGAGAGCGGCTAGAACGAGAACGCCAGGAACGAGAGATGCTGGAACAGGAACGTGCCGAAAGGGAACGTCAGGAGTGGGAGCGTCAGGAGTGGGAGCGTCAGGAGCGAGAGCGACTGGAGAGGGAACGTGCCGAGCAGGAACGTCTGGAGCGTGAGCGTCAAGAGCAGGAGCAGCTGGAGCGAGAACGCCAGGAACGGGAGCGCGCCGAGCAGGAACTGATGGAGAGAGAGCGTGCCGAGAGAGAGAAGCAAGAAAGGGAGCACCAAGAGCAGCTGGACAGAGAGCAGATGGACTGGGAGAGAGGGAGACGCATCTCCAACGCCGGTGAGCATCTTCATTTTCTCCAACGTCTTTTCATAGATAGGACTGACAGATATAAGATCTAGACAAGACGGGCTGGAGTCAAAAAATTAATGAGATTTTAACACAAACTAACAATACAAGTGGCTTTTCTTCTGTTGTACACTATGCTTAGCATGCAAATGCCTGTGAAATGCTGTTATTATCTGTTAGAAGTCATTTCTAACAGTGTTGCAGTTATTATGCTCTTCGAATTTAATTTAAAACGATTTTTTCCTTAACACGTTCGGACCGGGGATGCACCAATATTACAATTATTGCTGATTTCCATGCCATGGCTGATAACCAACAAACAAAAGATTAAAAATCTGTACTATTTTGTCTAAAAATAAATCAAAAAGTCAGTGCTGTTCTTGTCAATGTTAAATCAGTGTTGTGATTCTTAAGTGAATGTAGGCACCACAGCAATATAATCTACAAAATGAAATCTGGATAGCTATTCATTTGGATATCTAATAAGGAGAAAAGTTTGTTTGAATAAAAAAAAGCAGGATCTCTATAAGAAAGCAGTATTCAAGAAACAGCTTTTAAAGGGTAAAATCTTTTGTAATCTAGAGTTGTCCCTTTAAAACAATGAATTGAGACAATTTAACATCTAAAAATTGGCGGAAACAAGTGACCAAAAGTCACTTATATTGGACATCACAAATAAAAATTCAATAAAAAATTTTAATTAATAAAATCCACTGATATCCGCTGTTGTGCATCTCTGGTTCGGACATTTCCTTTCGTTGTTCTTGCTGTAAAATATATTTTTATTATGTATTTGGCTTCTACATCTGTGTAAAGCTATTGTTTATATGAAGGAAGGGTCAGCACCTACTCGCGTCTTAATATATCAATAGGTGATCTTCTCCTGACGTGTCCATCTGTCAGTATGTTGGAAGAGTCTGAATCAACAGCTTGAAAGATGACGAAACTCAGGGAGAGCTGCATACACTAACCACGTTTCCCTCATGCTATCCTGTGTACAGACCACTAGGAATATGGGTAACCTGCCAAAACTCAAGAATTTAGGTGACATGCAAAAAAGTCTATGGATCTTTAGCAGCTGTCAACATAAATGTTGCTGTAACCTGTTTTACTTTTGTAATTTGACAAATTTCTGAGAGAACCACAATACTGAGTTAGAAAAAAAAAATGTTGGGCATGTTTTTTTTTGGCCATCAGGGTTAGATTGGATGCAAGTTAGTAGAAAATTTGAGAAAAGTTATAAGATTTTTCTTTTCTTTTTTGTTTGTTTGTTTAAAATAAGACCTTGTTCACAATAAGACTAGGAAACTAAACAAGGTCAATTTTCATAAATTCAGATTGCATACATTGCTCAGAATCATGTGCCAAAAATAGAAATTTTTCTTCTCAAGATGGGGGAGGAGATGTTTATTCCACAGATAATGTGTGAGAGGTCAGGCCTCAGGCTTTGATAGGCACAATTGTCATTTCAAGTGTTAAACATTTGAGCAGTTTAGCATAGTTCATGTGTGATCATTGTATCAAATAATCTGTGTTATTTGGTAGTGATGTAATACTTTGTTCCACAGCAGGGATGTCAGAAACCCTTTAAATGCAGCATCAATTGCTCAGGAATGTTGAATCTAAATTACTAACACAACTGGTCCTGTTACACATTAATATATTGGCAATCAGATTTGGGAAGGAGACGTCATTTTACAGAAAACTGAAGCTTTATTCACTGGCAGTGAATTGTAAATCATGACCGTCTTTCCACCTTATATTAGATTAGAACAGTGATGTTTTTTTTTTTACATACTTCCAAATGCTCTCAAGGAAGGCAAGAATAATGTTTCCTGATCACAAATTTCTGACATAAATGCTTCAGTGTCATTGTTGAATATGAGATGTTAAAATATCCAAAGTTCATTAGAATTGTAGAAACTTGGTGGTGTGTCTGATTAAAACACTGGAAAAAAACACCAGTCCTTTGCTCTCTTTTATTCCATTGGATTGAAGAAGCATAAACCTTTAGCAATTCACATGACATGAAGTTCACAAATTCACATGGAGCAGGACTACTAGGATGAACATGATGAACAGGATGGTTTTAAGTCACTTCAAACAATACAAAAGAGAAATCAAACTCATACAATCAATTCATCAATAAATATCAATATTGTACTCAATCCAAATAGAGATTAAATATCTAAACAATTCAAATAAACAAATCCAAACTATATAACTGGTAAACAAACTTGCTTAAAGGGTTAGTTCACCCAAAAATGAAAATTCTGTCATTAATTACTCACCCTCGTGGGTTGAGTAACTCAACTAGGTTGAGTAATTAATGACAGAATTTTAATTTTTGGGTGAACTAAGTGAAGGACTCAAAGGACATGGTTGGGTGTCCATTCAAACACCCACACCTCACCAATGCAAAAAGGGACAAAGGAAGGGAAGTAAGGTCTATTTATAGACCTTAACCAGGGGAATATGGGTAATGTAGTGCACCATATATGGAAATGTGGTTTACTAGGAGTTGTGGGAGATGTAGTACTAAGAAAAATTTGAAAAAAGAAACAAATGAGTCAAATTCACAAGTCATTTTTTAAAGTATATTCTGCTTAGACAAATCATTGTACAGCTAGTCTGCAGTTGATGCATTTCTCACTGCTGTATTGACTGGCTGGTGCTCTTAATGTTTTATTCTGAGTGTTGATTGACACAGGATTGAGTTCTCTGTCTGGAAAGACGTCTGCATGGCAGTTGTATTTTTAGTGGATCTTGTCTTGGCTCAGTGACTTTTCTGAGTCATGTCTTGGAGAAGTCTGCTTTTTGCTAAGAATTATAAAAAAAATACCCTGAGATTTTGGCAAATAGGTATAACAAAATCTCTATCATTAGTTGGAGCACTAGTTGGTTTTGGTGTAAATGGGTATTTATAGCCAAAACTATCAGCTAACCATTCACTTTTTCCACTTCAGAGTAGTATATTCAATAATGTTCATGCTAAATAAATAAACTCATTAGTATTAAAAACATTATGTGAGGATCTTAGTCACAAGTTGATTTAATACATTTGGATTAGTCTCTGGAGCACAGCCGATAGGTCTTGCCATGTGACCGCCTGTGCTTTAGGAGTGGAAGAATTTCATTAAGTCACTTTGGTGAACATACTGCGCTACATCACGGGGCATGTGGTCTGCTTGTCAAAGCTAATAGTGTGGAAAGGCAGAGGAGGAAAATGAAATGGAAGAAAGCAAGGTACAGATAGGTTACATTATAATTTAAAACAAGGAATAAACAGAAATCAGTGGTACTTAAGTCATGAAGCCAGCGTGAATAATAGGAAAGTGTTAATAAGGAGATGACCTGAATGTAGGGCATGATAATTTGTGTTTGCCTGTGTGTTGACGTGTATTTTGAAGTGTGCTCAGGGGGGCGTGGTGGCCTTCACGCAGCAGGAGGGCAGCTGTGTCTGCAGGCTGCTTATGAGAATCACTAGAGCAGAAAGATTTGGCCAACATATGGCAGGCAGTGACTCTTACAGTGCAGTCTCACCATAAACCAAAACATGAATTTACATGCGTTTCATATATAAACACCTTTAAAGGGTTAGTTCACCCAAAAATGAAAATTAGCCCATAAATTACACACCCTCAAGTCATCCTAGGTGTATATGACTTATGCACTTATTATGCCACTCAGCGGGTGTTGCATGCATCAGTCCAAAAGAAGTTAAATAAAAAGCACCCGTCCATTAAAAAAAAAACTGTCTCACACGGCTCCGGGGGGTGAACAAAGGCCTCCTGTAGCGAATCGATGTGTTTTTGTAAGAAAAATATCCATATTCAAAACGTAATAATCACTTTAATGTAGCTTGCACCAACAGTTGTACACGGAAGCAGCTCTGGGCGGATGACGTATGAGATCGGCTTTGCGCATGCGCAGCTCAGAAGTGACGAACGCGGAAGCGCAGCGGAGAGATCAAAACAAAACAACGGTCACTTATTAGAAGTACAAAACGAGGATTTGTAAAGAAGAATGTCGGAGAATTTCGATATAAGCCAAGAGGAGACTGGTTTTCCTTTGCTAAAGTAAGGAAACTTTGCTTTCTTTGCTCCTGTTAACAAACGTTGGTTTTCACGAGACTCACCGGCACATGCGAAACGCTGAACTCATACGTCATCAGCCCCGAGCTGCTTCCATGTACAACTGTTGGTGCAAGCTACATTAAAGTGATTATTACGTTTTGAATATGGATATTTTTCTTACAAAAACACATCGATTCGCTACAGGAGGACTTTGTTCACCCCCCGGAGCCGTGTGAGACACTTTTTTTTTTTTATGGATGGGCGCTTTTTATTTAACTTCTTTTGGACTGATGCATGCAACACCCGCTGAGTGGCATTAAACAGCTTGAAAGATCAAAGACAATTTTTAATATAACTCCGACTGGATTCGTCTGAAAGAAGAAAGTAATATACACCTAGGATGACTTGAGGGTGAGTAATTTATGGGCTAATTTCCATTTTTGGGTGAATTAACCCTTTACATATGTTGCAAAATGCATTGCGTTGAGACAGGGCCCCTGTTACATATATACTGTATAAAACTGGCCTTCAATAACATCTGTATAGTTCCATATTTATGTTTTATGTACACTACTGTTAAAAAGTAGTTTTTTAAAAATACTTTTATTTAGCAAAGATTTATTCAATTGGTCAAAAGTGACAGTAAATGTCACAAATGTCACAAAAAAAATCTATTTCAAAGAAATGCTGTTCTTTTTAACTTCTATTCATCAGAGAATCTAGGGATAGAAATGTTTCTTGAGCACCAAATCAGCATATTAGAATGATTTCTGTAGGATCATGTGACACTGAAGTAATGGTTACTGAAAATTCAGCTTTGTCAACACAGGAGTAAATTACATTTAGTAAAGTTTATGGACAAACTTCATGTTGGCTTGAGAAAGCCTAGCTTGGAAGTTTGAAGTTGTTTTAAAATATATTAAAATAGAAAATTCTGAATATTATTGTTTTTACTGTATTTTTTTATTAAATAAATGCAGCATAAGAGACTTGTTTCAGAAACATTTTAAAAAATCTTACCAACCACAAACTTTTGAATGAGTGGTGTATTTTTGACTGTTTTGCACATACTTTTGTGCAAAGTACAAGTTTGTAGACAACTGATGACTCACCAATGATGTTTCAGCGGAAATTTATGATTACTGGGTTAAATTCGATGTCCCATTCATATCTTATACTGTAGAAAGTGCAAAAAAGTGCAGGTTTTCATGAGCATTTTCTTGGCATGCTGAGAGTGGATGACTAGCCTGTAGCAGGTGTGTGATGATGCTAAGACACTAACCTCACGTGACATGTGCATCCAGGATTTACAGTAACCCTTCGGTGCTCTCTCCTGAAAGTACTACATGCTAAACTAGATGTTTGTGTAAGCCCACATGTGTTGAAATTGATCCATCTTTTCCGGTTCATGATGTTGCCAACAGCTAACCGATCGTACTAATTCCAGTGCGTTCCCTGTTCATAGACAGAAATAAGTACATATGATGGACTTGTAGGTCTCTGCTGGTTTTCTTGCTTCATTTGCCCCCTTTCTCTCTTCTGTCTCCTTCCCCCTTTCTCTCTTTGTCTTGTGTTCTTTCCCTTTGCACGGTTGCCGCTTCCTCCCGTCCTGTCCCATCCTGTCCTGTCCTCTGGTTTGGCGATTGCTTTTTAGCTCAATATGAAAGTCCTTAGGAATATTTTGCTGTTTTGTCCTTTGTTGGGTTGTACTGGTTCACCGGTTTGATGGATGCTCGTTTGTGTGGCCTGTAATTGTGTGAAATGGCATGGCATGAAAACACATATCCACTCTCTCTTGTGAAACTTTGATTTGAGTCTCAGATTGCAAAGCTGCGATATCATCGCTTTAGTTCTCATCAGTGTTTTTTTTTGCAGTTTATTACAACCATCTCATTCTGATTATTGGTTTATGGTAAAGAAGTTCTAGATGTTAACATGTACAAGTGAACTGTCATTGAACAGTGAGCTTTACATGATCTATAACTGGCCTCCCTACATCCTTTTTGGTTATTCTTCACATTCACACATTTGTTTCATACAACATCTTTATTTTAAAAAGAAGCAAAATGAAGATGAATTTGATTACATTTGTCTTTGACTAGGTTTTATGTTGCATAGTGCATACAGTAAGCAGAGCTTTTCATATGAGGTCAAGTCAACAGCAATGAAGAAATAAGATCAACTCTTCCTCTGAATTATTTATAGAAGAGGTTTTAGGCTTCACACTTCATATGCATGATGCAGCTTGACGTTGAGCTAAATTCTACACACTAATATGATTAACTTGAGTGTGTTTGACAGGCATGCATGTCAATATAGACTTGAAAAACTTCAGCTGTTTATACCAAAAAAAAAGCCAAATGTTAAATATAGTCAAGCTGATACGTTTCTAAATTGTGAAGAATTTTACCTCATAATGATGTTAAGTGATGCAATATCAGCTTTAAGTTGCATTTTAATGATTAAATGTTTTGAAACAATTACCCCAATTACATCTCTGCATTTTGTTAAATTGATGTACACATTTGTTTCTTATTATGATAAATCATCAGTTTCTTTCTTGTGGAAGTTGGTATAATGATCATCAGCTTTTGACAGGTGTTCAGTATGTTCACATCATGTTTTAATGTCATCTGTCTTCGTTCACTATTACGAATGAGCTTTGTATGTCATTGTTGTTTTTGTTATTTATTTATTTTAATTATTATTATTATTATTATTATTGATGGATTTATATTATATTACACTACCTTTCAAAACCTTGGGGTCAGTAAGATTTTATTTTTTTGTTCAGCAAGCATGCATTAATATGGACAAAGATGAGAGTAAAGACATTTATAATAAAAACCACAAACTTTTGAACTCTAGTGTATATATTATATTATATATATTATACTATATATTATATTATATCGACATCTATTTAGCTCGCCCTTGCTGGAGCCAAGCTAAAGAAAGTGCCAAGGGTAAGTGTTGAAGGACCATAAAGCTCTCATTTGCATTTAATTTCTCCTGAAGCTTCTTAACACAGAACAAGGGTTGGAAATTAACAGCAAAAATGCCCCTCCAAATTCAAAATAAGGGTGCAAAAATGGCCCTGCATAATTACACTAAATCTATTATGGTTGTCACGATTAATATGAAATGTCAAAACTAATTAATGGCATGGGTTACACTTTATTTCAAGGTGTCATTGTTACAGTGTAATTATACATTTAAGTACTGAGTAATATTAATTAACTGTATGTACTTACTATATGGTTAGGGTTAGGATTAGGGTTACTTGCATGTAATTATGCATAATTTATTGTTATTATAATAGTAAGTGCATGTAACGTGTAACAAGGACACCTTAAAATAAAGTGTTACCATGGCATGTAATTTAGATCTGCTCACATTGCAATATGCTGCACTGGTAACAACCTAGTATTCTAATTAAGTGGACGTCCATGACATGCGGAGTCCCACAAGGCTCAATTCTTGCACCGCTCTTGTTTAGCCTGTATATGCTCCCACTAAGTCAAATAATGAGAAAGAACCAGATTGCCTATCACAGCTATGCTGATGATACCCAGATTTACCTAGCATTATCACCAAATGACTACAGCCTAGGGGTGTAACGATTCACTCGTTTTCTCGATGCATCGATTACAAACCCTGACGATGCAATGCATCGATATTGAAACATGGATTTTTAAATCGTGAATCGTTGATTTCGGACAGTAAACGTTTTAAAACGCTAAGAATCGAATGAATCACGATTTCTATAGCGATTCAATGCTTTCAAAATATATACAAATTAAATTACGACAAGCACAAATTAATGGAGACCTTGAACAGTGTTCGTGCCCTCGCATCTCTCCTTCCCGCGCTCACTATTTCCCGCCTGCAGTGACTGTCACAGGATTGCGCTCCGTTCGTCTCACTGACATTTTTTGAGCAGCTGATGTGTGATCTCTCCTTAGTA